AGCTAAATCCCCAACCCCCTTTTCACCTTTTTTTAACAACTCATTTCCCTGTAGTTTTCTGTTTTCCTTATCTAGTTGGGTGCTTGTCTGCCTCTCAGTTTCTTGGGCATCTTTAAAGGTTAAATGACCCAGTTGTTTTATTTTGCGTATCAGCTGGACATCAGCAGATGACTGGGGAACGGGGAAGCTTTGTATGTCTGTGTCTGTGCGTGTGTGCCGGCCCACGCATGTGTAAACCATTGAAGAATCCCTCTAATGGAGTAGATGAGACATGATGTGGATAACTTGTATGAAGTAAAGTTTGAAATTTTTGACTCAGATATTGCAGAGAAACAAGGATGTCATTCCTAGTGGCTCCTTTGTGCCAGCAGGAAGGGTAGACAGAGGTCAAAGTGCAAGGAGACAAGCAGAAGATCACTTCCTCTTGATACAGAATAAAGGAGATCACATTTCCTCATCTATTTCAGGCCAGCAGTCTGTACATGAGGCCCAGGATTTGTTTCCAAGGCAGGACTCAAATGCCGAAAGGGTGACAGACAGAACTCCCAGCACTGAACTTGAGTGCTCCACCTTCAGAGAAAATTGGGATTCTGAGTGTGTGTTTGAAAGGAATGGCCATGATACACTGTTTGAGCAAGAGACGGTTACTCAGACCAAAGCCTTCTCAGAGGGGAGAGATTGTGTGTACATCAAATCTGGAAGATGGTTTCATTTGAACAGTTCAGAAGAGAGAAGTCATAATTGTGATTCAGGTAAAAGTTTTCCCCAAAATTCAGTGGTCATAAAAGAAACAGGAATCTATGCAGGCAAAAAACTTTTCAAATGTAATGAATGTAAGAAAACTTTCACCCAGAGCTCCTCCCTTACGGTTCACCAGAGAATTCATACCGGAGAGAAACCCTATAAATGTGATGAGTGTGGGAAGGCTTTCAGTGATGGCTCCTCTTTCGCACGACACCAGAGGTGCCACACAGGCAAGAAGCCGTACGAGTGCATCGAGTGCGGCAAAGCTTTCATACAGAACACCTCCCTTGTCCGTCACTGGAGATACTATCACACCGGGGAGAGACCCTTTGACTGCATCGACTGTGGCAAAGCCTTCAGTGACCACATAGGGCTTAATCAGCATAGGAGGATTCACACTGGAGAGAAGCCTTACAAGTGCGACGTGTGTCACAAATCCTTCCGGTACGGCTCATCCCTCACCGTGCACCAGAGGATTCATACTGGAGAGAAACCGTACGAGTGTGATATTTGCAGAAAAGCCTTCAGCCACCATGCGTCACTCACGCAGCATCAAAGAGTGCACTCTGGAGAAAAGCCTTTTAAATGTAAAGAGTGTGGGAAAGCTTTTAGGCAGAACATACACCTTGCTAGTCATTTGCGCATCCATACGGGGGAGAAGCCCTTTGAGTGTGGGGAATGTGGGAAATCCTTCAGCATCAGCTCACAGCTTGCCACTCATCAGAGAATTCACACAGGGGAAAAGCCCTATGAATGTAAGGTTTGTAATAAAGCATTTACGCAGAAGGCTCACCTTGCACAGCACCAGAAAACTCACACGGGAGAGAAGCCGTATGAGTGCAAGGAATGTGGCAAGGCCTTCAGCCAGACCACCCACCTCGTTCAGCATCAGAGGGTTCACACTGGAGAGAAGCCCTACAAATGTCTGGAGTGTGGGAAGGCCTTTGGGGATAACTCATCCTGTACTCAACATCAGAGACTCCACACCGGCCAGAGGCCGTATGAGTGTGTGGAATGTGGGAAGGCCTTCAAGACCAAGTCGTCCCTCATCTGCCATCGTAGATGTCACACTGGAGAGAAGCCTTACGAGTGCAGTGCGTGTGGCAAAGCCTTTAGCCACCGTCAGTCCCTTAGTGTGCATCAGAGAATTCATTCTGGGAAGAAACCGTACGAGTGTAAGGAGTGTAGGAAAACCTTCATCCAAATCGGACACCTCAACCAGCATAAGCGAGTCCACACTGGAGAGAGACCGTATAACTGCAAGAGGGGCAGGAAGGCCTTCAGGCAGACCGCGCACTTCGCTCACCATCAGCGACTTCACTCTGGCGAGGTGTCCACTCACTCTCTGCCTTCCACAGCCAGTCCTGTGGACCTCTTCTCCAAATTTGTGTGGAATCCATCCTCCCTTCCATCATCGTAATCTCAAAACATTGCCGTCTCCACTACACTACTTTATCAGTTCACCTCTCTGTCCCTTGGTTCCCCTTTGTCCCTTACAGGTTTGTTCTTCATGTTTCAGTCAGGTTGGGTTAGTTTTGGAGTGTAAATTAATTAATTTGCTCATCGAGACTTGTATTAATGCCTAAGGTGTGCTTAGTTCAGTGCCTGATCTGTGCCAAGTATTCAGCAAACAAAACTTGGCTCTTTTAAAGGTTTATTTTTGAAAATGGTCGTTTTATTGTAGTCAGCCCTGATAAGAATGATGCAATAGGATGAGGCTAGGGGAAACCAGATTTCGGAACACAGAGGCAGTCTCTGAGTTGTTGATGAGGCTTGCTTCTTTCCCGTGACAACTTGGTGCTAAGCCAAGGGTATGGTGGGCTCATCTGTAATCCTAGTGTTCATGAATTCAAGGCCAGCGGGGCAGCTTAGTGAGACCCTATCTCTAAATAAAAACAAACAGTTGATCCCACACTGCTGAATTGTATCATGGCTTTGGATTTGAACTACATGAATGTAAGTATGGTAATAGAACTTTCAGTGAGGTGACTCTCCTATACACATGGATAGACAATGTAAGTGTGTAGGACACCTGAAACAGATGAATGAATCAGAACGATTGGAAAAGTGCAAGGTTTTATATTCGTGTACTTAAAACTACCAAATTACTTAAGAATGAGAAAACTGAAGGATCTGATCTATTTAAAGTCACTGGTTTATGAATGCATTCTTGGTAAACATCCAAGTAGTAACTCTGGGGAAAACTGATTTACAGTGGAGCAGCAAACTGATTATTTTTGTATGGACCATAATCTAAATTTCTAAAAATGTGTTAAGTGGTTTTAAACATTGGTGATTATGTGACAGTTACATTTTAGTGTCTGTAGGTGAAGTTGTCTTGGCTGGCAGCCACACCTTCACTTACATATTGTTTGTGGTGCTTCCTTCTGTCTTCAGAGGGAAAGCTGTGTCGTGATGAGGACCATTTGGCTCAGAGAGTTTGGTTGAGCTACAGCAGTGATCGTTGGTTTGTCACAGAGGCAGAGTTGATGGCTGCACTGGAGACGGTGGCCACATTAAGCCACAGATATTTACAGCTGAGGAGGAGGAGAAGGTACAAAAGTTCCTAACTTCATGGCAATAATAAACCCTGACCAGAAAACCAAAAACAAACCCAAGAACACTGGGCCAGTGCGACGGCTCAGCAGGTAAAGGCTCCAGTTGCCAATCCTGATGGCTGAGTTTGATCCTTGGAACTCGTGGTCGAAGAGAAAACTCCCTCCTGCGCGTTGTCCTGAGTTCACACCTTCACACAAGTGCTGTCGCAGGCACACTCCAAACACAAACATAGAAACTTTAAAAATACGGCTTATGAAGAGACGAAATTATTAAATGATAAAAAACAATAAAAGAAATATATTTATAGAAAATATGAAAACGTTTATGAGTTATCTTTCCAAAATGAGTACCATGAGGATATGTTGACAACTTCAGGAATCAGACAAGCATTTAAAGTATTTTTTTTAAAGAATTGTTTATTATTTATTTGTTTGTTTGTTTATTTTGAGACAGGGTCTCTTTGTGTGAAGCCTTGCCTGTCCTGGAACTTGCTATGTAGACCAGGCTCACTGAATTCATAGAGATCCATCTGCCTCTGCCTCCCAAGCACTGGGATCAAGGGCACCACCTCACTTGGCTTTTTGTTTATTTGTGTGCATGTGTGTGTGTGTGTGTGTGTGTGTGTGTGTGTGCGTGCGTGTGTGCGCGCGCGCCACATGTGTTTGGGTACCTACAGAGGCCAGAAGAGAGCACTGGATCCTCAAGTGAGCAACTCGAAACAGGAATTTAAATTTTCAAATATGCTAATCCAATCCAAAGATACAGGAATTTGATACACGCTGAGGAACAACAGGAGGAAAACATTGAAAGTCTCATTTTATTTTACTTTATATTGTTACTTGAAGAACAGAATGCTTTGTACCCGTAGTGAAGACACTGCAGTTCCTAACATACAAGTCTCAAATCTCAGTCGAGGGGTTCAGACAGCCTTTGTTGGCACTGCATGGAGTGACAACATCCACAGAGGAATGTGCACCGCGTTCAGAACTGAGGCTGCAGTGGGACCATGCAATTCAACATGGGAGATTGCCACCAAAAGACCGAGGGTCATTGCATGATGGATCCCTCATTTGGGGCTGGCTGTGCGTTCAGGAGCTTCTTACTGTTTGCAGCCTTTCACAGCGTTTATATCCAGTGTAAGGATCTGGGATCAAGAGTTCACTGAGGCTTGTGGTGTGGCCTGCTGGGAACAGCCCTGGCTGTGTCTGTGCCTCTAGGGGCCAGAGAAATCGGCTGTCATCGTTGCACACTGAAGGCATGCCACAGATGTTCAAGATGGCCTGTGTTTGCATGAAGGTAGTCCCTTTGGCCGTTTTGGCTGGCAGCCCTAATGTTTAAAGTAGCCAGGCAGCAAGAGAGTCCAGTAGCTACCAATTAGATGCTCACATTGCCTCATCCAGCATCTTTGCCTCTTAAGAAAAAGAACACCAGGAGTGTTTTTTTTTTTTTTTTTTTTTTTTTTTAAAGAATTTAAACAGTTTTGCAATGATAGTAGTACTGACTTTTTTTTTTTTTTCCTTTTGAGACAGGGTCTCTCTACATTGCCCAGGCTTTCCTGGATCTCACTCTGTAGACCAGACTGGCCTCCAACTCACAGAGATCCGCCTGGTTCTGCCTTCCAAGTGCCGGTATTAAAGGCTATGCCACCATGCTCAGCTAGTGACTTTTAAATTTTAATTATGCTCAACACCTGGTTGGGGCGTAAGGGATGTAGGTTTGTCCCAATTATTTGTTCCACAAATCCTATGTGTCAAACACTTTTTTGTCACTGAAAATTAAGTCCTGAACAGGGTGAAGATGGAATATTCAGCCTTATAGGGAAAGGTAAACCCGGGGATGAGGGTGGATTATGTCAGGGAGCAATAACTAAAGCCTGAAATAGGTTACAGAGACTCAGAAATCACAAGCACACAATTACAAAAGCACATATTTTTCTCCTCTCTTTTGGTGTGTGTCCCTGATGCCTTCTAAATCGCACCCATTGCCCACAGTTGTCTTCTACTGCAGAAGCCACAGCGGCCTTCTTGGGTTTTAAAGCTTGGCCTCTCATCTCAGGCATGTCTACTCATCTTCCCAAAGTGATAGTCATGCCTGAGTGGTCGCTGTGTAGTCCACCTGTACTTCTGGACCCAGATACGAGGCTGAGAAGCTTCTAATGACTGTATTCTGAATCGGGGGACACCAACTGGGGGACAGAGAGCGGTGACCAACTGCCCTCTGCACAGGCTCCTTGTCAGCCTCCTGGGAGAGCTCGTCCGACGCTCGCTGGGCGAGGACTACATATCCCAGTTGCCATTGCGGAGTACCGCACGACCACCTCCGGTAGAGACCGGAAGTCAGTGACGCTTCAACTCTATCAGAGTCTCAGGTGGAATTCGTGGTGGGTGTGGGGTGGCAGTGAGATGTGATCTGAGAAGGCTGCCGAGAGTGGGGTTCAGGTCGGTGCGAGGGTGGTCTGGCATCCGTGGGTCTGATGGGCGTGTTGTGTGCGAGTGTGGGAATGCGGGACTGATCGGGAGGAGACCCGGGAAGTGTGAAACAGGATGCCAGGTGGGCGGGGCGTGTGCGGAACCTTGTCTCCCCGCTTGCTTTCACGTCCCAGCGGCAAGTGTGTGCTGGAATCAAAGGAACGCTTCTAAGTGGGGAGGGGACACATTCTCACCATCAAGTACGAGGTCTCAGGTGGCAAACTCAGGAATCCAGAGACAGTGTCCGGGCCCCTGAAGTATAGAAATGCTTGGCTTCTCTGAAGGAGACCGAGCTCAGGACACTCTTAGAAGCAGACGCTACTGAGATAAGAATGAGAGATGGTTTGGGTGTGGCTAAAAAAAAAAGTGGAAGTTGAGATTTGAGGAAGATGCTGTTTGAAGTTCCAAGTGCTAGAGGAGGGTGTCAGTGCTCTCCGGGGCTGGTGAACTCCAGTCTAAAGATTCCGAAGGCCACTTTGGTTTATAGTGTGGAGCTGAGTTCAGGAAGGGACCTTGACTTGCCCAGAGTCACTTAACCAGACTCTGCCATCTAGGTCTTTGTGTTACCCAGAATTCAGCAGAAAGAATACCAGCTACCAGAACATTTCTTCTGAGTGCTCTACTGCTGTTCAAAGACATCAGCATTTCGTTTTTCACCCGCCAGGTCCTGGTACTGTCACGGCTGGGTTGGAGGGAAGGTCACAGCTTTACTTAGAAATGCCAAGGGATTCCAACTTTTATTCTCTGCAAGAGTATGTTCACCTTTCCCAAACTTCTCTTGCTTCCTTGCTGTCTCTGTCCACCCTGGGATGGGACAAGAATTGCTGTTCACAGTACTCTCAACCACTTAAAGCGTTTTATTCACCCCAGTAAACTCAGTTGCTTAGGCGTCAGTTGCTTGTTTCCCTGGATACAGTTATAATAGCTAAATGTTTATTGAGTGCTCGTTATGTGACAGACACAGTCTGGGTCTCATGGCATTCTAAGACCTTTCAGGAGTATTAAGACCACCTCACAAGACTGTAGGGAACACCCAGTCTCCTTTTTACAGTTGTGTTCAACTTGGTGTTGATAGACCCCAGACCCAGGGTACTATCTTCTCGAGTGGGCGCCCCAAGAACCCAGACTCCAGTCCAGTTGATGCAAACAGCAAGAGGTTTATTGATGCAGCTGTGAGGGCAAGAGTGGCATCCTACTGCAGCCACATAGGTACTTTTAAAGGAAAAACCCACAAAAGCCACAAGATTACAATTTCTATACAATTTGGTTTCGATTGATTTATGTCTAGAGGCTAATTTCACAAGATCATGGCCTGATCACAGGGTGGGTACAGTCATGTCCGCATGCACATTCTTCTGGAAACCTCTAGGCGGGTATCAGGTCGGGAGTGGAGTTTACACAAAGGTTACAGTGGTCCTTCCTGGAATACTTGCACTTATCCCAGTCACAGTTGAGCGAATCTCTTAATAGAAATCTCTTTACATTGTTACATTGTGGCAGGGGTCATTGAGTAATGATTGAGTCAGCTTGCCCTTGGAACTAGATTTTTAATTTAGTTCCTCATTTTCCTGGGGCTGGGGGGGAAGGGGTGTAAGCCTGAAGGGTTAGGGTCTTCCAGTGTGATCCCTGCCACATCGGAATTCAGTAAGTGTTCATTTTTATCATAATCTTTAGAGAAGGCCATGGAATTTGTATTAAAGAAGTCAGAGTCAGGGGCCAAAGAAATGTATCAGCTCGTGCAGAAGACCCAGGTCCAATTTCCAGCACCCACATGGTGGCTCACAGCCATCTGTAACTTCAGTTCCAAGAGATCCAATGCCTTCTTCAGACATCCTTGGGCTCCTGCATACATGTGGTGTACATACACATACAGTAAAATAAATAATTAAAAAAAAAAGTTCAGAATTCAGCTACTTTCTCCCTTCATAATCAAAGGATCAAGTCATGGCAGGGACTTTATCAAAACTCATTTGTCATAAAGCAAATGGACATTTGGGTCTCATGACAGGTCTCTGAAATCCACAAGGGCTGTGTGTTGTATTGAAGTTATAGCCTTTGGGGAACATGGCTTCTACAGGAATCCACCTCATCAAATCTTGACTAATTTCACAGGGAGGTATATTTTATGGTGTCTACTTGAATAAAAAGTACTGGGGCCAGGCATACTAGCTTGGTGACTATTTCTCATTATTTACAGGCTAGTTTGTGGAAAAGCCTTCCTAGAGATTGATATGCAAAATGGTGATATTACTCCCTCCTTTCTTTGAAAGATAATGGAGATTAAAAGAGTATTAAAAGGACTAGATGGTTCAGAGCACTGGCTGCTCTTCCAGAGGACCCAGTTTCAATTCCTGACAACCACACGTCAGCTCACAACCACTTATAGCTCCAGTTTCAGGGAGATCTTATGCCTTCTTCTGTCTCCACAGGCACCATGCGTGCACATGGTACACATACATGCATGTAACCACTCATACACATAAAATAAAAATAAATCTTAAAAGCAAAAAGATAATTCAACCTTTCTGATGCCACAGAGCTGGCATTTAGACTTATTGCAAATTAGGTGAAACATCTACTTTTCCACACTAATAATTACTATTTTTGCAATGACTATAATGACTACTATTTTTAGTAAACTAGAAATTAGAAAGAAGCAAAGAAGATACAGTAATTAATTTCTGCTACTGAAGATAAGTTACTAAAAGTTTTCTTCATGGGCTGGAGAGATGGCTCAGTGGTTAAGAGCACTGGATGCTCTTCCAGAAGACCTAACTTCTGTTATCAACTCCCATATGATGGCTTACAACAGTCTGTAACTCCAGTCCCAGGGAATCCAATGCTCTCTCCAGCCTCCATGGACCAGGCATCCATGTGGTATACAGACATGCAAGCAAAGCACCAATACATATAAGATTTTTTTTTAATTAGAAAAAGAATACTAAATATGCAACATACCCTATATATCTCTGCTAATGAATGGGTTTGGCTGGGGGGAAACAGTGAAAGATTGGTTGGTTGTGTTCAACCTGAAAATCCAGAATGGAAGGGAATTCTCAGCTATGTTTTATGTTTTCACTGAATAACCTGGTCAGTTGGTCTCAGTCTGTTGGTATGTTTGTCTATTTCTCTGTCTGTCTCTGACTCTCTGTCTGTGTTTATCTGTCTTTCCGCCTCTCTCTGGTTGTTGGTGTGTTTCTGAGTTGTATTTTTGCAACTTGATCTCTACAACTTATTTCTCATCCATCGGTTGTATGCTTCCAATGTGAAGTCCTTCCACAAATGAAGAACCAGGAAGAAGTGAAAGACATAGGAAGAAATCAAGTCGCTTAAAGCCGTGTCCCTGGTGAGTGAGTTAGTATTCCCTCTTCTCTTACTAAAATAAAGTTTTGTGCTTAAGGATTTGGCAGTGTTTGTTTCCCTTTGAAAGTTACTTAAGACTAGAAGCTTGGGACTTCCCTGTTTCTGATCAATGATGGAGCCCTGGGGATGGACTCAATAACCCATTGCATTGCCCTCTCAGAGGTGTTTATCTTTCATCTGAGAAAGGACTGGATCTAAACCTATTCCTTGTGTTCAGTCCTTTTATGGGCCTCAAAAGGTAGAAGAATCATCTCTGGGGGAACTTTAAGAACCAGTATGTGTCTAGGCCCTGAGAGAGTTGGTAGTCTATTGGAAATATGAAAAGGCACAAAACACTTACATAGCAAGGTGCTTCAGGAAGAGAGAACACTTACTGTGGAGCAGTGGGGAAGGACCTCTGACTGACCCTGTGATTCATGGCTGAATTAGAAAATAGTGTCCCTTCCTCTATACGGGCGGAAGTCAAGACAGCCCATATAATCTGGCAAGAAGTCTGTATTAGTTATTTCTCTTGCTATGATAAAATACCAAAAAGCAACTTATGGAAGAAAGAGTTTATTTTGGTTTATGGTTCCAGAGGATTGGAGTCCACCCTGGTGGGAGGGGCGTGGAAGCAAGTGGAAAGAGCAGGGCACTGAGGTATCACATTTCAACCACACATAGGGAGCACACAGAGTGAACTGGAAATGGGACAAGGCTGCAGACCTTCAAAGCCTGCCGCCTCCCTGAGTGATGTACCTCCTTCAGAAAGCTCTACTTCCTAAAGTGTCCATAACCTCCCCAAACAGCTCTGTCACCTGAGGAATCAAAGGTTCAATACCTGAGCCTATGGGGGACATTTTTTTCCATCAACCCACCAGAAAGTCCATTTTATTTCATCTTCTTGCCTCCTTGGTAAAGGATCTTTGTGAAGGATATCGTAGCCCAGTTAGACTCACTGCTGAGGGGGGGGGGGGAGTGTAGAAAGGACTTGGGATTCCTGAGTTGTATCTGGAATGGAGTATTTTTTCCATTTTAAAAAGTATGTACACCAGGCGGTGGTGGTGCACGCCTTTAATCCCAGCACTCAGGAGGCAGAGCCAGGCAGATCTCTGTGAGTTGGAGGCCAGCCTGGGCTACCAAGTGAGTTCCAGGAAAGGCGCAAAGCTACACACAGAAACCCTGTCTCGGTGGAAAAAAACAAGTATGTACAACATAACCAGTCAACAGTCTAGTGAGTATCTTACCCAGGTCACTCAGACCTTTTGTGCAATTGCTTGCACACATTCTTTTTATTTATGTGTTTGTTCATTTATTTTTGATTTTTCAAGACAGAGTTTCACTGTGTAACCCTGGCAGTCCTGGAACTCACTCTGTAGACCAGGCTGGCCTCAAACTCACAGAGATCCTCCTGCCTCTGCCTCCCAAGTGCTGGGATTAGAGGTGTGTGCCACCACCGCCCAGCTACTTGCACACATTCTTATATCCTGTAATGAGAACAATATAATCCATGTGCCCTAGAGCCACATGAGCCTATAAACCTGAGCTAAGATTTTGTTTGTGTCATTTTAGGGCTTAGTGATTTTCACAAGTGTGGCCATAAACTCCCAAGATGAGTGAGGATGGCCGAATCTTGCCCAGAGGAGTTTGTACAGGAAGGTGATACTGGACAACTACAGGAACCTGGTTGCAGTGGGTAAGGGCAGCATTGGTGCTCACTGTGACTCGGTATCTTCTCATGCCTTTATTGTTTTCTGACACTGTCCCTCTTCAAGACCATTAGGCCAGTGGTTCTCAACCTTCGGGTCATGTGACCTCACTGAGGGGTCCAATGAGCCTTTCATAGGGGTTGCCTGAGACCATCGGAAATCTTATTTACATTAAGATCCTAGCAGTGCAAAATTACAGTTCTGAAGTAGCCACGGAGATGATTTTACGATTGGGGGTCCCCACAGCATGAGGAACTTGTATTAAAGGGTCACAGCCTTAGGAAGGTTGAGAACCGCTGCTCTAGATCAACTGTAGCTCCTGCTTACAAACTTCACTGTCAACGTTCATGTTTTATGTACAGGTCTCTGCATTTTTAAACCAGATGTCATCCTGTTACTGTATCGAGAGGGAGCCGTGGACATAAAAGGAGAGGCATCCATCCAGAGGTCCGGGCCCAGGTGAGTGCACGATTATTAGATTACACTCAAGAGTTTCTTCTCTTTGGTGTTTGTGGGAGAATTCCTCTCAGACTCTCTCCTGGATTGATGTTGGCTGTCATAGTAGTTTCTTCTCCACTGTTAAAACCTACCACGTTTACCTTTCTATACATACCAAAGTCTGTCCCTTCACTTCTGTCCCACTGATGCTTACAGAGTTCTGGTCAGCTGGTTTGGAGCTGTGCAAGGAAGCCAGCTGAGCCTGAGCCAGAGAGCGAGGCAGGAGGCAGGACTCTCCCATAGGTTCTACTGCAGTTTCTGCTTAGGGTCCTGTCCTGATTTCCCTCAATGACAGACTGTGACCTGGATGTGTAACTGAAATAAATCCTTTTCTCTCCTAAGTTGCTTTTGGTTGGAGTGTTTTATCACAACAATAGAAAAGCAGGATAAGTAAGCATCTAATCCGAGCCAAAATAAGTTATAAATAGTCATTGGTGTTTCTAGAGATCAAAGGCATAGTCAATGAATTGGAAAACTACATCTAATGCAATTAAATATGCACGTCTTTAAGAAAACATAGAAACTGAGGACAAATAAGAGAAAATATATAAAACCACAAAAGGACTTAAAAGAATCTTATGAAGATCTGACATGTGGGTTTAACTATACAAAGACTTGAATTTGATCCCTCATGATTTGCCCAATCCAGATAAATAAAGTAGACTGATATGAATCTGTTTTCCTCAACTCTCTGTCACAAATCTGAAAATCTAGATGAATGCATGGTATTCTAGGAGAATGCAGAGGTATAGATGAGCATGACTGACAATATAAGAGATAGGCCAGAAAGCAATACAGGAAGTTCTTTATGAACTGATACCCCCAAAAGAGAATAAACCACAATGTAGTTTCACAAATCAATCCATAAAACCTTTAAGGAAAAATATCCTCCACATTATTATTTACCCTGAAATTTGGGGTAAGTAGAAAGAAAGCTGTGGTTTTTTACACTGAAATTTGGGGTAAATAGAAAGAAAGCTGTGGCTGGAGAGATAGCTTAGTGGTTAAGAGCACTTGCTGCTCTTGCAGAGGACCCGAGTCTGGTTCTCAGCACCCATTTGGTGGCTCATAACCATCCCTAACTCCAGTTCTGATGTACTCTTCTGGCCTCTTCAGGTACCAGGCACACATGTGGTACATATACTTACAGACAGAGAAAACACTCATACACATAAAACTTTAAAGTATTCTTAAGTAAAATGAAAAGGAGAGTTTACAAAATGATGTTGGTGAATATAGAATGTTATTTGATAACAGAGGTTACTAAAACCACCAAAAATGTAAGTTGAAGATAAATTCTACCTACAAATATTGATACAAAGAAAAGTCTGTATATAATATTGACCATATGGCCAATGATGGCTTATTCCAGGTACACATGGATGGTTGTGGCATCTGATTTTATTTAAGAAATAGTAAAAACCGGACTGGAGAGATGCCTCAGAGGTTAAGAACACTGACTGTTCTTCCAGAGGTCCTGAGTTCAATTCCCAGCAACCACATGGTGGCTCTCAAACACCTATAATGAGATCCTGGAGTGCAGGCATACATGCATGCAGAACATTGTATACATAATAAATAAACCTTTAAAAAAAAAAAGAAATAGTAAAAACCACAGACCTCTTCTGGACTTCAATAACCACTTGGTTTTAAGATTTCCTTCCTAGCATTTATTAAAGGAAATCTCTCAATATGTTTTAGACTTGGAGTACATGTGGGTGACTGAAGAATTGTGTCCAAATAGTGATATTAATTAATTAATTAATTAAAAAACAGGGTTTCTCTGTGTAACAGTCCTGGCTGTCTTGGAACTCACTGTGTAGATCAGGCTGGTCTCAAACTCACAAAAATCTGCCTTCCTCTGCCTCCCAAGTGCTGGAATTAAGGTGTACGCCTCCACTGCCAGGGACATTTATGAAGAGAAATTTTCCTAGGCAATAATTATGGAAATACAAAGTATGCCCTGGAATGTTCCACGTTAAGTGAAAACTAGAGATGTGTGGTGATTCCCTGCAGGCTTCACAGCAGGCAGGAAAACATCCACAAAGAGACAAGAATGACCGATTTTATTGTTACTGGTGCTGGACCAGGACTTCTAGAGTGTGGCCCAGATCATTTCACTTCAGTTGTATTTAACCACAGCACAATTCTTGCAAAAAATTATTGAGATAACAACTCAGCCCCAACTACACAACACTTTAAGACATGTTTACATTGAAATTCCTTTCAAACTACATCTGGCTTCTTTCACAAGAATGGGTCCTGTTGACTCAGAGATAGTGCCCAAGATTTAGGGTCTAGGGAGTTTGACTAAGGTCAACAACATAAAACCTGTGGGTGTCAGGATTGGCCTGGCCCTAAGATAACACAGATGTCACTTAGGCTGCTGTAAAGCACAAGTGACATCATGTGGAAGAGTGGGCTTATGGTCTAAAACAATGCTCAAGAGTTAGAGAAAAGGGTCTTGGATAAGTAAAACATAAATTCTGGTGGATAAGGGCAGGGCCTGTCTCATGAGAGAGCAAAGGATCACCAGGCTGTAAAACGGCATCATTCCTAGCATCCTAGGAAGAGCAGCTTCGCACCTCATTCCTTTGAAGAGGTAAGCTGTGTGTTTAACTTTCCTGGCTTCTCCAGTGCTTTCCTGTGTGCACAAGGCTTTCTTCTCTACAGAGATGTAAGGACTTGTTTGAAATTGAGTCAGTCAGAAAACACATTTTAGGCATGAGACCTAAAATAGATACCTTTATTGTGGAAAAGAGACCAAGTCTGGGACAAATTTCCATATGGATTCATTATCTTATCTAATACAGACCCCCCCCCCCCATGGAAGCGAGAATATATACTTTTGGTACAGAAAAGAAAATAATTCGTTATGAAAAATACATATAAGACCCTGGATAAAAACAGATAAAGATGTAATGACTGTGCGAAAACATTTAACAAAATATCACCTTTACTCTTCAGCAGAGAATCGATCCTGGGGAGAAACCCTATGAATGTATTGAACGTGGGAGAGCTTCAGCCAGAGCACCCATCTCGCTCAGCATCAGAGAATACACCCAGGAGGAAAACCCTTTGCATGTGCTGGCTGTGGGAAGGCGGTCAGTCAGAGTGCTCATCTTAACAGCAGGGGGTTCCTACTGGGGAGAAGCCTTATCCGTGTAAGCAGTGTAGTAAAGCCCTCGGCCAGCTGGCACACCTTCCTCAGCATCACAGGGAGAGAAACCCTAGGAGCGGAAGCGTGGAAAAACCTGCAGGCAGAGTGTGCATCTTGCTCATCATCAGGGTCCTCGTCGGGGAGAGTCATCCCCAGGCGCTTCTTTCTCACTCCCAGGCCACCAAGCCCTGTCCTTTCAGTCTTCTGATGCCTTTTTCCAGTCCACAGTATATCGTCATAGTGCAGGACACAACTGTGCCTTCTGTGTCTCTGTGACAGTATGAAACTGTTGTCCATCTTGTGCCTCTCAGTGCTTTTCAGCACTGTGACCAGTTTCATCTTTTAAAAATAAAAACATACGATCATGTTTCTTTTCCATTTAAAATACCTTCTTTGAACAATAGACACATTTTAGAGGGTTACTACACAGCCCTGGTATATAGCTAGTGCTAATGAATGTTAGCTACGGAAGTGAAAGTTTCCCTGGCTTCCTGTGGTGGCACATGCCTTTAATCCCATCATTCTAGAGGCAGAAAGTCGGAGGCAGACCGATCTCTGAGAGTTCAAGGACAACCTGGTCTAAATAGTGGGTTCCAGGGCTGCAGAGTGAAACCCTGCCTTGAAAAACAGTTCCTTATATGGTGCTGTAATAAAAAAGACAGTATGCTGGGTGGTGGTGGTGGTGGTGGTGGTGGTGTACCAAGAGAGGTGGAATAGTTTTTTTTTTTTAACTTGATATAATCTTAAGTCACCTGGGAAGAGAGTCTCAGTAAGGTGCTGTCATAAACAGGCTAATCCAATATATGATTGCATTAATTGATGTGGAATACCTAGCCCACTGTGGGTAGCAACATTTTCTGAGCTTGAGTCCTAGACTGCCTAAGTTTGGAGGAAATGAGCTGGGTAGTAGGGATGCTACCATCATTCCCGTCTGCTCTTGACTATCAATGTGATGTGTTTTAAGTTCCTGTCACTTTGAAATTCTTGCTGTTATTCTGTGGTTCCTGGTGGTGTGATCCAGAGAATCTGTGGCCTAGAGTTGATATCCTGAGTAATATTTGAATAAGCATCCCTAGCAATGTTATTATTTTGAGAATTGCTGCAATTGTTAAAAGCTTGTCGGAGGAAGACATACATCTTTATTCCTTCTACAGAACACAGTGCTACCAAGGTCAGCTGTATGGAGGTACAGGGTACAGGAGGACTTATAAACTCCTCATAATCAGAGCTCTGGTTGCCATGCAGAAGATGTTAGGACAAGCCATGCACATTGGAAATTTGGTTGGAGAAGAAATGAGAGGGAGAAGATTCTAAGCCCGAGGAGTAGCTCTGAGCAAGTTCTGTTTGGCCCTTCGATCCTTCCAATTCCTCCTGGAAGTGAGAAAATATTGACACTCAACAGTTTGATGGGTTAGTCAGCAAAAGAAAATGCTTCAAGGGATGGTATGATGGCTCAGCAGATAAAGACACTTGCTGCCAATCCTGATGACTTGAGTTCAATCCCTGGGACGCACATAGTGGAAGAAGAGAGCCAACCCTCTCAAGCTGTCCTCTGACCTCCGCAATATAAGTTAAAGGCATTTAAAAGTGTTAATGCTGCACCACAAGTGGGTTCTGCTCTCTGGGGCATTTTAGGACAGGTTCCTTACATCTTTGCTGCTGGACCACTCCTCAGGGACATTCCTGGTGACCAAATCCTTGTTTATTCAGGCATGTAGTCATCCACTCATCAGTTTTCAGCTTGTGGGTGGATTTCATTCCAGTGACTTGTCCTTAAAAAGCCTGCACAATTTAAAACCAACGTAATTCAAGACTAATTCTGACAGAAAATAGTATGCCTGTTCTTCATCAAAAGCAGTACAAAAGATAACAAAGGAACTTAAAAAAATAGTATGGGTTACATTTTAAAGTATAGCTGCCTGAAGCATTTTTAAATTGCCAACTTTTATCATTAAAAAATACCACTCAAATGTTCATAGTAATATGTAGTCATGATGTACCTCTATAAATTAACCATTGCATCTCTGTCTCTTTTTTGAACATGTAGGTAGGTGTGTGTTGTGTGTATGCATGTTTGACTGTGCATGGGTGCGTATATGTGTAAAGGTGCACGTGTGTGGAGGACCAAAGTTGATGTCACATGTCTCCCTGAAGTACTCCCCACCTTTGTATTTCAAGGCAAGACCTCTTGCTGAACCCAGAGCTCACCATTTTGCAGAGTCTGGCTAGTCTGCTTGCTTTGGGGAAATTCCTCTCTCTGCTTCCCACAGCACTGGGAATTCAGGCAGGCTTCCATGCTCACTTGGCATTCACATGGGTGCGGGAAATCTGAATAACAGTCCTCACACTTGCATGGTGAGCGCTTTACTTATTGAGCCATTTCCATAGCTACCAGAAACCACACCTTTCTTGTGACCCTCCCACCCAACAACGTAAAACAAAACAAAACAAAAATCCCTAAGAACTCATGGGGGCACTTTCCACCCCATTACACTTAAGATAATCAACAGCCTCAACCTGGTTCAGGTCTTTCCTTCTGTTTCTTTTTCTGCATGCCCTCTAAGGATGTTTTGGAAAAGCTGTTAATAAATCTTATGGAGGGTGTAGCAAGGCCCTACTGTCCTGAGAACTAAAGGTGCCTCTTTAAAGTGATTCTGCAATTTTTGTCTTAATTAGCTCTTGTCCCATGCTCTCCACAGTCCCCAGTGAGCTGTTTCCAAGCAACAGCAAGGGTTTTTACTATACAGGTAGTTACTTAAGGTTTCTGTATGGGAGGATAAGGAAACCTCTCTGTTACACTGTATAAAATCAGCACCACAGTCAGGTCTTGCAGTTGAGGTTAGGAGCAATTCCCGGCGCCATGAGTCAGCACCGCGGACAGCGCAGGCAGCCAACGTTTCGGTTCCTCGCGCGCTGCTCTGTGGTTCAGAACCACGGACAGCGAAATCCCCACCAGCCCCTTGATCTCGCGCTGTGTCGGGTGGTTCAGCACCCCGGACAGCGCCCTGTAAACGACGAGGGCGCTTGGTTTCAGAACCGCGGACAGTTCCCCCAAAGGGTTTTTAATTCTGACAAATACCTTGTAACTGTTCAAGCATTACAGGGCAGCGGTTGCTACAATGTTTGTGTGGGAGGCTGGCTCTTCTCTCCCATCTCCCAAACGTGTTAGAACCAGGGACAGTTCTAACACCTGCAAATGGTTCAGCAGACAGTGCGTATTCCATTGGGTTAGCACTGCAGGCTGGTCCAAGGGGACTTTCAGCATCAGAGGTCATTTTGTAGCATTTTTAGAGCACTGTCCTGAACTTTCTCTCCCAACCTCCCAGTCGTAGAGTTTCTGGTTGGAGATATTTGTATCCTTGAAGGACATGCTGGACCATACCCACAGAAGTGCAGGTATCCAACAATTTTGCCACAAATGAATCTCTGGGTTTTCCCTGCAAACAAAATAAAAACCCTGATATCACTCAATGCACTACCCGGCACTCAGTTTCTCAGGCTCATAGCCCCAACCTTCCTAGATTCATCCCTGTTTTTATACCTCAAAACCTATCTGCCTGTCAGCCTTATCGGCTCCACCAGTAGCATGTATCCTGAATATATCCACATCTGTCATCTCCATGACCACTGTATTTCAGGCCAGCATCACCTCCCACCTTGGTTACTACAGGAGCCTCTCACACAACTTTTCTATCATGCTCCCTTCTGCTGCATTCCCCACCAAGAGATTTTGGACACACTTTCACAATGTAAATTAGAGCAAGTCTCAACACTGTTCATTACTCTGTGAATTCTTCCCAAGCAACCCATAATCAAATCCAGGGACCTTCCTGAGCTTGCAAGATCCTGAATGCCTTTCTGAACTTATATCTCACTTCTGTCCCTTGTCTAGCCACTCTGCCCACATTGGCCCCTTTATTGAACCCTTTGTATCTTTAATGATTCATTCTACCATGGATTCTTGTTTAGCTGGTTCCTTTCCATCTTTTAGGTATTAGTTCAAGGTGTCACATTTTGAAATGTCTTCTCTGGGCTGTAGTAGCTCAGTGGAAGAACACTTGCCTAGCATGCCTGAGACCCCAGGTTTCACCTCCAGCAACCCCCAGTCCTACCACTAAGAGAAAGAGATGATAGATAAATAGATTGATGATAGATAGATAGATGATACATAGATAATAGATAGAGATAAATGATAGATAGATAAATAGATGATAGATCGGTACATAGATAAATAGATGATAGATAGATAGATAGATAGATAGATAGATGATAGATAGATAGATAGATAGATAGATAGATAGATAGATAGATAGATGGTAGAGATAGATATATCCCCTTAGAGTCACTCTTATACTGGCCCTTTTCATGGACTTTAGTATGAATTACATTTTACTGCTTCATGTGCCTGTTTGTGTACTTCTGTCATTAGAATGTACCCTTCTAGCCCAGCAAGATGACTCAGTGGGTAAAGGTTATTGCTGAAAAGCCTGATGACCTGAGTTCAATCCTTGGGACTCATTTGGTGGAAGGAGAGAACCAACTTTAGCAAGTTGCCCTCTGACTTTCACAAGCACACCATTTCATTCACATGTGTGCATGCACACAACTCAATAAAAACATAAATGTAATATATATTTTAAAGAACATACACTTCAGACACTTATTATCCTGATCACCAAGAAAAGGTTTACTACCTATCAATTGTTTAATAAATATTTGCTGAATGGATGGTTTAAGTGAGTGAGTGAATGATATCCTTATATTTATATTGATCAGCCTTTTGTCAGTTAATCATGGAGCCCCAACAAGATGTCAAGAGGACTCATAACTTGGTCAAATCATGGCCCAAGATTTGATGATTGTGTTGTGATTCCCAAGATAAACCCATCCTCCTAACTTGGTAATTCACTGGGAAGAACTGAGGAGTCATCATCATGTGGTCTTCGTACTCACATACTAGCAAATCATGATGATTTGTTACAGTGGAAAAATACACAAGATGCCTATCAAAGAGTGAAATGTTTTCACTCTGCCTCTTGATTTTCTGTGAAGCCATTCATGGTACAGCATTTAACAGCGGGGCCATGCAGAGTAAAGACCAGTGCTAGGCATGGTGGCGCACACCTCTAATCCAAGCAATTCCGAGGCAGAGGTAGACAGATCTCTGTGTTTGGGGCCAGCCTGGTCTACATGGTGAGTTCCAGGCTAGCCAGGGCTAAATGGTGAGAGACTGTCTTGGGGTAGGGGGCAGTGAAAGAAGGGAAGGAAGAGAGAGAAAGAGACCCCAGTGATGGAATCTATCACGTCAAGTAGTGGCATACAGCTATGGCTAATCTATTTTCCTTTTATGTCCATTTAGGCCATGACACAAGAAGCCACCCTTCTGCATGTTGGAATGCTCTGCAATTTCCCTGTAAAGGCATTTTGCATGGGACTAGTCGGGGATGCTTGTAATGGAAACTACTGGGGGAGCAGAAAGATCACAGGTTCAAGCCCTGCTTGGGCTACAGAGTTAGTGCAAAGGCAGTCTGGGCAACTTAGTGAGACCATGTCTCAGCAAGTTAGAAAGGGGGCCGAGGATACTCAGTAGGTAGAGTGCTTGCCTACTCTGTTATCATGCACGAAACCCTCGATTCGGTTCCCAGAACTGCAAACAAACAAACAAACAAACTCACTTCTTGTCTTAGTTAGAGTTTCTGTTTCTATGAAGAGACACCATGACCACAGCAACTCTTATAAAGTAAGCATTTAATTGGGGCCAGCTTACAGGTGCAGAGGTTTAGTCCATTATAGCCATGGCAGGAAGCATGGTGGCACACAGGCAGACTTGGTGCTGGAGAAGGAGCCAAGAGTTCTACATCTGGATTGGCAGGCAGCAAGGAGAGGGAGAAGGAGAGGGAGAGGGAGAAGGAGGGAGGGAGAGAGAGGGAGAGAGGGGGGGAAGAGATGGGGGCGGAGAGACTGGGCCTGGCTTGAGCATTTGAAAACTCCATCCCCCACTCAGTGGCACACTTCCTCTCACAAGGCCACACCTCCCATTGCCACTCCCTAAGCATTCAAATATATGAGCCTATAGGGGCCAATCTTATTCAAACCACCACACTTCTGAAAAGGTTTGAGGAAAACAAATTAATTTAAAATAAAAATGCTAAATAAGTGAGAAACGGTGGCACACACCTGAAATCCCAGCTCTTGGGAGGTGAAGTCAATAAGACAGTTCAAGGTCACCTTCAGTTTATAGCAAGTTTGAGGCCAACTTGGGCTATATGAGGCCTTGTCTCAGGAAAAGCCAAAATGGAAAATAAGTGGAATAAATAGCATTATGATGTTACACTGTAAGCAGCCAGGAAGGTGGTATCTTATCACTCATGGAGAAACATGACCAAAGGTGAGGAAGGAAGTGTGAAAGACTGAAGTGTGGGTAAAGTTAAAACAGTGGTGTAAGACTCTAGACACTCTCTTTGCTGTTCTTATGCCATTCTTTCTCCCTACCCCTCTTTTTGAGACAGTGTTTCTCTGTGTAACAGTCCTGTCTGTCCTGGAACTCATTTTGTAGACCAGGTTGGGCTCGAACTCAGAGATCTGCCTGCCTCTGTCTTCTGCCTTCTGAGTGCTGGGATCAAAGGTGTGTGCCACCACTGCACAGTATATTTTTTTATTTATTTTGGTGCTTTTTCCTGCATTCATGACTGTGTGAGGGTGCCAGATTCCCTGGGACTGGAGCAACAGGCAGTAGTGAGCTGCCACGTGGATGCTGGATGGCAGGACCAGGACCTCTGGAAGAGCAGCCAGTGCTCTTAACTGCTGAGCCACCTCTCCAGCTCTCTTACCTTTCTGAAAGAGATCACCTCCCAAGGAATTTGTTCAGTGACATTATTTCATCCAGGCCCTTCTTCTAAGAGCTCTCAAGATCAAAACTAGAGTTCTTGCCTCTGCTAAGAACCCGTGTTCATAGTTATCACAGGGACTGGGGAGATGGCTTGGTGGGCAAAACGCTTGCTGTGCAAGCATAAGAACCTGGGTTCAAATCCCCGGCACCCATATAAAAGCCACGTGTGTTATCATGTGCCTGGAACTCCCAGTGTTGGCAGTGATGGGTGAGGGAGACTGATGGATCAAGGACTTACTCTCTGCAAGTACATGTGTGAATGAAGGCACCTCCCTACACGCCTACACACACACACACACACACACACACTACATACACATACACACACATATACTTACATACACAAAGAAAAAAATTAATATAATTTGATGGAAACTTGTTTGCTTATTTATGTATTTAGAGAGGAGTGTGTCTGTGTATCTGTGCACATGTGTGTGTACATGTGCCATGGTGCATGTATGAAGGTCAGAGGATCTTTCCTTTCACCATGTGTGTCCTGGAGATTGAACTTGGGTCTTAGCAGCAATCACCTCTTCCCGTTGGGCATCTCGCTGGTCCCTGGTGGGAATGAGTACTAACTCATTTAACCCCCAGAATAGCCCTCCAAGGCAGGAACTATTCTTGCCCCCCTCTTTTTTTTTTCAGGCAAAGAAACTGAGGTCCAGTTAATCAGCATCCTTAAGCTTTTCACTGGTACATGCTTGGATCTGTGTCTGGGCACCCGACTTGTGAGCCCTCATGGCATCATGAGGGATGAGCGTCACCCCTCATCTGTCCTTTCCGTAACATCTGGATACTAAAGGAGATGGTGGCAACTGAATAGAATGTTTTATTTTGCAATTCATTTCTACTCAGATCATATCCGTGGTTGGGGACTCATCTCCTCGTATCTCTCCACAATGACAGAACAATGCAATATAAATAATATTGGTAAATTGTCACATAGTTGAAAAATATTAATTTTGATTTTTGACAATTTCATACATGTATAGAATATATTCTATTACTCTCTCCCCTTGCTTTCTCTTATCTCCCTCCTCTGCCTATATCAAGCCGTACCCCATGCCCAACAGTTCCCAGGTTCATGACTGTTGGTTTTGTTTTGTGATCCATTATCTCAACAATGGCACTCTCCACTGGAGCCTGGGAGGGGGTCGCCAGGGGTCACACGTCAGAAGGCAATGACTTCCCTAGTCCCCGAGTCAAACGGGGTCTCGACCCACAGGTTGAGAAACCACCCATTTAGCGCCTACTAATTTGTGGGCGTGTCTGTGGGGGGAGGGATTTTCTTGATTGTTAACTGACTCAGGAGGGCCCGATTCACTGTGGGTAGCGTCATCTCCTGATCAGATTCTGTGCGGTATAGGAAAGCTAGCACGCTGGATTGTGATATAACTTTATTGCTCCTTAACTCCGCACGGAGGGCCACTCCACTTTGGCTAGACCCTCAGGGCCTACACTACCTACATCCGCTCCTCTGCAACTACACCACAGGCCAGCGGTCTCTGTCAGCCCTCCAATCTGTCTCCAGTTCTTTCCAAACGCAGGCTCCCGGAGGAGGAGGCGGAAGAAAGAAGGCCGCCTCCTTCTCTTCCCCTCCACCCCCACCTCCCACCTCCCACCCACTGCCTCCGCGGCTGCGCAGCCGCTGTCCTTGCAGCTCCAGAGCTCCGCAGCGCCTGGCAGGGTCTGGTTGGGGAGGGTGAGTCCTAAGAGGGACCCCCATGTTTGGGAAGGGGGCGGGAGATTGGGTTGGGGGCGTGGGCAGTGATCCGGGGAGGCGCATTCTTGTGTGACTGTGTGCATGAGTGTCCATGCGTGGATCTGGGGTGGGCGGGTTCGCAGCACAACTGCTCTTAGGTCTGGGGTCTGCGAAGGGAGGGTCCCCAAAGCCACGTGGGAGGAGACGGCTGGAAAGGAGGGGGCGTCTTACCAGGTTGGGTCCGTTTATCTGCTAAACCTGATCCGTTTACCGGGTGCCTGTACATCGCACATGAATTTCAGCAACCAGGGAGAAGGGACCCTGCAGGGAGATTGCGCTCAGGTGTCTGAGTTCGTTCGTAGGTGTGTGCACGTGCACATCATCTCCCGGAGGGGAGGAGGGTCCCCAGTCTCTGTAGTTGGGCTTGCTGCCCCTGGGAGCCTGGCCGCGTGTGCACCTGCGCGTGTGTGCATTGTGTCTGTCCTGGGCTCAGTGTGTGTGTCCTGCAACAGGCAAGGAGCATAGGGTGTGAAGTCCCAAAGGTGCGGGGTTTAAGGGGCAGCCCCAACTCTCCTGAGCTCGGAGGCTGTGTGGGCAATGGAGCCATAACTGTTAACTACTCAGCAGGGCCTGAAAATCATCCCAGGAAACAGCGCCTCTATTACTGTTGTTGTTATTATGATTATTATGGTGATTATTATTACCATTATTATTTTTACTATTATTATTACTACTATTATTACTATTATTATTACTACTATTATGACGATTTCCCTTGCTCTTACTACCTCTGATCCTTTCGCCTCAGCGGGTGATGCGTTTTCTAATTCATCAAGACCCCAGGGACGGTGAGATGTAAATCCCCTGGGTACTGTCTCTCTTCTTCTCCCCTTCCATCCAATGCACCTGCAGGGTCTTCTAATCCCTGCCCGCCAGGTTTCTCCCTGTGTCACTGACTCCTACCTGCCTCTTCCTTCCTTCCTTCCTTCCTTCCTTCCTTCCTTCCTTCCTTCCTTCCTTTCCTTTTCTTTTTTTCTAAAATTACGTTTATTTGTATGGGAGCATTCAGAGGACAAATTGTGGGAATTGGTTCTCCTGGGAATTGAACTCAGGTGGCCAGGCCTTGGCAGCAAGTACCTCTAACCCACTGAGTCCTATTATCACCCTGTCCACTCCACACCTGTGTTTTCTTTGCTAGCTCTCTGCTTCTCAGCCTAACCCCATGATTAATCATGCTTCATATCGAAAGTAAAGCAATAAACAAAACCCAATCTTAGGATCCTCTAACACTCTTTCCCATCAGTGTTCATGTAACAGTCCTGCAGGCACACACACACTCACACACACACACACTCACACTCACACGACACATTTTTGTATCTCAGGCTAGTCTCGAAATTCACTATTCACCCTGACCTGATCCCGCTACCTCCTAAGTGCTGGGGTGGGGTCGCAAAGGAGCATCCTGGTGGCTGGGTTATGCAGTGCTGGAGACCCAGTAGTCTGCTGCCCGCTACATTGCCTAGCTCTGTTTTTCCTCCATGCCGGAAGTCTTGTCTTTTCACACCCGCTACAACACACACCCCACCCCTTACAGATGCTGCAAACTGGCAGCTCAAGGGTCTACCCTAGGTCAGATATTGCTGTTTGGGCTCATGGGGTGTTTCTTTCTTAAGCGTTTGAAGTCATGGCATTTTAAATTGTAGACCCTGTCTCAAAAAGAAGTAAATAAAAACCAGAAGAAAGGAGACCAAGAGAGGGATAATATTAGGCGACGAGGAAGGGGGAATGTAGGAAAAAGGACATGAGTTAGACAGATGGTATAAAACTACTTTTTCCCCCTTTCTAGTTTTAACTTTTTCATAGTTTTTTTTTTAATTTTTATTTTATCCATGATGGATAAGTGAATTCAACTTTCCAGGTATTGAAGAAGTAAAAGTCATAACATAAGTAACTATCCAACTAACTAACTAAGGTAAGTACTATTAAGTAGTAAGTGCAAAGCCCTTACTTAAATGAAGCGAGCTGCTTGGGGTAGCCACTTTCTGTACAAAAGCGTCACTGAGCTGTATAGAGTTGGGGGCTGGGCATGTGTTTGAGTGGAGTCCTTAAACCGGCTGTATTTGTGAGTTAATTAGAATATATATACTGATTTTATTTAAATATTTTAAAAGTGCAAAAGATGTCATCTTAAAAAAATTTTTTTTTTCAGTCTCCTAAGAAATCGACGGTGATAGCCTTGTGTCCCAGGTCTTTGCGGGGCTGAAGGGGCAAGGCAGCTCCTCCCGAAAAGACACTTGATGGATCGTTTGCTACGACGATCCTGGGTGCTCCCTATTGTTTCTTCCAGGCTGCGCAGTGCCTGTTTGTTTCTATTTTCTTTGTGATGCAGAAGCTCTCTTCCGGATTTGCATTTTGTTTTTCAGCTGCAGAACCGCGAGCCTTCGGGAGGCTCTTGCTTGATTTATTTTATTCTTGTGCTGTGCTTTCTGACGAGCTCTGGAGGTGTTTGCCGTCTGATTCCTGGTGCCAGCATTTCCATCCGCCGCACAGTCATGTCTGCTGCTCAGTTTGGCCCTTCCTGCTCACCTCCAGGATATCAGTAGCCATATCGAGGGGGGCATCCAGTTCATCCATAGGCTCTCGGGACTCCGCAGGGGCCTGGCCCAAAATTTGTTGAGAACTATTTGGGAAATTTCATATCCAGTCAAACACCCATGGGTGGCAAGTATTTGTGGAGATGTGATGTTTAAATTAAAGTTAGCCTTGAAGGAAGGGCGGCACTCCAAGCCGACGAAGCCAGGAGAAGGAACGTACCCCTTAAATTCCGTTCAGCAGGTGTTCTATCCCTGCAGAAATCTCAAAATGCCTCTGTGAGGGGGCTGCTTTCAGGGATGAGCAAGCTAAAGCTCAGAGAGGTTGTGTGTCCCAGGACACACAGCGTGGGCACGGCAGAGAGTGTCGCAGACACATTTCAAGGGCACGCAGTTAGCTCCATGCTGGCTTTACCTGCTACTGATAATGCTTGAAAAGTTTCTGCACCCGGATAAGCCTCTCCGCCGACGACGACGCAGCAATCCCGAATTAGAAAAAGTCCCGGTTTAACGGGTAATTCCCGGGTGATTCTCCAGCCACCCCCAGAGAGGAGACAGGGACGAGAGACCTAAAATCCATTGTCTCTTTTCTGGGGTGAAGTTTAAATGCCCCAGGGGAGGAGCTGTGGTTGGTGGGACTTTCTGAGGAGCAGGGTCTGGGCAGAGAGGTGGGGCTTCCATCAGAACAATGCTCAGCAGCCTGCAAATTCCAGCCATTCTCTCCCCACGGGGCTGGCAGTTTTTAAAAAATTGGGTGCTTGGGATTCTAACTTCGGCCTTCATATATTTAATTGTAAATATTTAACATATATATTTGTGTGTGTACATATGCATATACATGTGTAGGTACATACAATTTATATGCATGTAAGTACATATTTCAAGTTAATCCACACGTATCTGCATTGTATAAATGAAGGATCATTTATTTAATCATCTTCTTGTTGATAGATATCTAAGTTGTAACACTTTGTTTGACCTTTCTGAGACAACTCTTTGTCTAAGATGACCTCAAGTCTGAGACCCTATCTTGGCCTGCAGAATTGTGACATTGACCACACCCAGTGGTTGTCAATATTTGAGTCAGGGTCTCCCGTAGCCCAGGCTGTTGTATTGACCTCACCTCGTAGACGAACTTCTCTTCCTCCTACATCCACTTCCTGAGTGCTGGGGTTGGATGTCTGTGTCACCACACTTTACGCCCAGTTTGTGCAGTACTGGGGACCGATCCCAGCACTTTGTGTGTGCTAGGCAAGTGCTCTACCAACTGGGCGTCACACCCAGCCTCAGCTGTAAAACTTTCTACATGTCAGCATTGTTTAAAAATTAACTACGTGTGCGCCTGTGCGCATGCAGGCACTCTCAGAGGCCAGAAGAGGATGTCAGGTCCCCTGGAACTGGAGCTATAGAATATTGTGAGCTGTCTGATGTGGGTGCTGGTAACTGAACCTGGCTGCTCTGCAAGAGCAGCCAGTGCTTGTGACTCTCCAATTCCAGTTACCCATAAAGGTGCATATAGTAGCTCCAACCATGAGTACAAGAGATTTGTGTTGTTTTTCTGTATCTCCGTGTGATGTATGCAAGTGTGTGTAAGCAGAAGCCCATGTCGGCACACACAAAGGCTAAAGGATGTTTTCCTCAATTCTTCTTTGCCTTATTTATTTTGAGGCAGGGTCCTTTGCCAAGCCTGGTGGATGCTCACTGTTTTGGCTACACTGGCTGGCCAGCAGGCCCTTGGAATTTTGTCTCTGTCCCTCCTCCAGTGAAGGGGTTACAGATGTGTGTGCTGCCTGGCATTTTCTTCTTCTTCTTTTTTAATGTGAGTGCTTGGGATTTGACCTCAAGTCCTTACGCTTCTGCAGCGTGCTCTACCCACTGAGCTATGTACCAGGCCCCGGAACAGCTTTGTTTTGTGAATATAGACAGGAGTGGCAGCTTCCACAAACATGTGGATACAGGATAATTTCCCTCTGTCATGCGTAGGTGCTGAGGATGGGAACATCACTTGTGGGGGTATGCATATGTTTAGCCTTAGCAGATGGTGCGGTGGGGTTTTACTAAGTGGTTGTTGGGCTAACAGACACTCCCACCCGCACCCATGAGCCAGCTTGCTTTTAAAATCTACCTCTGAGAAGAAGGGAGATTTTACATCACAGTGGGAGAGGGAGTGCCTGCCGGCGCCTCTGTTCCTTTTTAGGGTTTTACAGTTATTGAGGATTACTATGAAAATGAGCACAGTGAAAGTGAGCAAATACCAGCCGTGTTCTGACTAGGGCTATCCCAGTGGCCCTGGAAGCTGCTCCCCACTTCCCAACTAAGGGGCACCCCAACACGGGAGAGGCTAAGGACACCACTGCTGAGCGTGGCATCTCACGCCTGTAACCTCGGTGTCCAGGAGGCAGCAGCAAGAGGGTCAGGAGTTTGAGGCCAGCCTGGGACATATAGTGAGTTCGAGACTACCCTGAGCTAATTGGCAGTGTCTCAAAACAAAGCATGGGCTGGTGAGCCGGCTTGGGGAGGAAATGTACATGCCACACAAGCCGGCGACTCGAGTTCCATTCCGGGATCCCACGGTGAAAGGAAAGAAGCTGTACACACACACACACACACACACACACACACACACACACACGCACACTCACACGCACACGCACAAAATAAAAATTTAAAAAACCAGCCAACAAAGCAAACAACAGATACATTGGCACCAAGCTGAGGTATTCTCTTTGATTCCTGTGGAGAGCAACTGTTTCGTTTTTTTTTTTTTTCCTTCCAGGAATTCCTGGATGGTCTAAAATCTTTGCCAGTACCCCTTTGGATGTTAGACTAAGTACAATAAATATTTTTGTTCCACAGCATCTCTGGTGGTTAATCTTGTCAGCTAAATTACCATCTACGATGGCAATTTAGAATCACCATGGAAACCCTGTGGGCATGTCTAAAAGGATGTTTCCAAATAGACTTAACTAATTAGGAAAAAGCCTACCCTGAATATAGGCACCTGCAGTCCATCGAGTGGGGTACGGGACTGAATAAAAAGGAGAAAGGGAGTCGAACACTGGCCTCCGTCATTCTCTGTTTCCTGACTGGGCGTGCAATGTCACCAGCTACCTCATTCTCCTGCAGTGGTGCCCCCTCCCATGACAGGTCATGAGCCAAAGTAATCCCTTCATTTTTAACTGCCGAACCATCTCTCCAGCACCCTGCCGTCGTTCTAGCAACACCATGCCTAGCACGATGATCCACTAGCTGACAATGGGTCTGTCCGTCCTTAGGTTTTGAATCCTGTGCCTGAGGAACACCCCAGGACGCGGACACCACGGAGAAGTCAAAGGCTGCCTTGGAAGGCCCGCCTCCTCCTGAGGAGGAGATGCAGGGCCTCAGGCCTGAGCAGGTACAGGGACTGCTACCTCTGGACGGCAGGGCCTGGGAGAAGCCGTGCCCACCCACCTTCCCCAAGGACTGGGAGGCTGTGGATGTCGGGGCCTTGAGCTGCGACAGCGATGAGAAAGGTGAGGGGTCCTGTGGGAGGTGGGCAAGGGAGAGGCCCTTGACAGAACGTAGGGAGAAGCCGAACATCCGTTCTGTCACTCACTGAGGCCACGGACACAACGTGCGGAATGCTGAATTGGGCAGCTTTCGCTGCGTAACAAGTCACCCCATCATTTAGTTGCTTAATGCAACAAGCACGTATGGGTTCATAATTCTGTAACTCAGCCATTTCATGTGACCTCGGGGGACATTTCTCCTGTTACCTGTTTCTGCCTGTGAGGTCATAGGGAGCCGGCCGACTCACACACTGGGTGGACTGACTAACTCGATTGTGTTGAGCCCTGTGTCTCCAAGAGGTTTACTCTCATGGGTCCTTGGAGGGTGGTGAAGAACAGGGAATGCTGGGATGCCTAAGCACTTAAACTTTTAAAAAGTGTGTGTGTGTGTGTGTGTGTGTGTGTGTGTGTGTGTGTGTGTGTGTCTATGTGCAAGTGTGTGCAGGCACCCACAGAGGTCAGAAGAAGGCACAGGGATGCTTTAGAGTTGCACATAATTGTGAGCTGTCAGGTGTAGTTTCTGGGAACTGAGCACATGTCCTAAAGAGTAAGCAGGAGCATATACTTTCAACCACTGGGCATCTCTCCAGCCCTCCTAGGCACTTTTAATGCCTTTGCTAGCATCTTGATCCTAGGTTATTGGTCAAAAATATGGCCTGTGAGGGAGGGGCTGCTGTGTGAAACTTTTCATAGGGAGACATCACACACACACACACACACACACACACACACACACACACACACACCTCACCTCAGATAAGGGAACCCATGATGAAGGTTACTAACAAGAGCATGGATGGGAAGAGGTCAGAATGTGTTGTCAAACCCACAATGAACAATTCAGGCCCTCCTCTCTAATAATTATACACCTCAAATGTCAGAAGTGCTGAGGGCATTAAACCTGCCTTTTTTTAAAAAAGCTGTTTTCCAGAATGAATGGTGGGTTTAGGAAATCAAGAATGAAAGGAAAGAGGTCAGTTAAGAGAGACCCCTGGGCCAGCCTAAGGACGCTTGCTGCCAAGGCTGATGACTTGAGTTTGATCTCGGGGACCCACATGGCAGAAGGCGAGAACTGACCCCCACTGTCCTCTGACTTCCACAGGTGTGCTACGGTGTGTGCCTCCACTCACCCACCAAAATGTTAGAAGAAAAAAGGAGACTTTAAACTGTGCGCGGTAGCTGACTCTTGTAATTCAGTACTTGGGAGGCTGAGGCAGGGGAATTGCTCATGAGTCGGAGGCTAACCTGGATTCGATAGAGAAGATTTCCAGGCCAATCTGGGATAAGCAAAACTCAAGAGTCTCTGCCAGCTTCATTCCGCTTTGGATTGAGAAGGATGGCATAGGTTGTAACTGTGTGGAAAATTCTTCCCTGGAAGCTTCTCCCACGGAAGGCAGAGAGACTCCTAGAGTAATTCTTTCCCTCTGCTCCCTCCTTCAGATCTTGGCTGGAAGGTGGCCAGGGAGCTTTTACCTTCCGGACAGGTGAACGAACGGAGGAGCCCATCAGATGGCCCAGTTTAAATCATGTAGTCAGCTGCAGGGTCTGAATTTAGTCCTGACATGTTATCAGCCCCACATGAACCATGTGTGTGTGTGTGTGTGTGTGTGTGTGTGTGTACATGTATACCTGTGTGTGAATACACATGCACATCTGTGTGTTTATGTGTGTATGTGTTTGTATATGTGTGTATGTGTGTTTGTATGTATATATATGTATCTCTGTGTGTGTGTGTGTGTGTGTGTATGTGTGTATGTACATGTATATCTGTGTGTGTGCTAGGTCATTAGTAGACAAGGGATAGGATGCCATGGAGAAAGCAAGCGGAGCCTCGCTGAAGTGTCCTGGTTGCTCACTAGCAGCTCTTCTCTCCTATTTCTTTGTCTTCACAGATGTGTCTTCTCAAGACACTGGGCTGTCTCTGGACTGGAGTTCGGTCGATGAAGACGATGAGTCAGAGGACTCCCAGGTATGTGGAGGAATTATTTCCGTTAGCACAAATGTTACTCTGAAGATCTCAGCGACTTGTCACATTTCCTTCCTCAGCCTGGGATGACTTCACTGCACAGAAGTTCCAAGTGCTCTCTCATGGGAGATGTGGCACATTCCTGTGGTGGTCAGACACAGAGGAGGGTCCACATGGGACATGTGTATATCTCTATGCACACAAACATCCATAGCTCTGCACTTATAGTCAGTATATCCACCCACCCTCCACCTATCCATCCATCCACCTATCCCCACCAGTTCATTCACGCCGCTTATCTATTAATCTACCTACTCATCGATCCATCCATTCATCCATTCATCCATCCATCCATCCAGCCAGTCATCTACCCACTCATCTATCCATCCACCCACCATCTAACCCAGGAAGAGAAAAGTGAGTAGGAGTATTAAGGTAACAAACAGGTATCTGAGGTTGGAGAGATGGCTCAGTGGTTAACACTGCTTTCTACCCTTCCAGAGGACCCAGCATCCAGCACCCTGTTCTGTTCCCAGCACCCAGGTCAAACAGCTCAGCTTGTGACTCCAGTTCTCGGGGACCCAGTGCTCTCTTCTGGTCTCTGTGTGTCCTGAATTTGTGTGCACATTACCCATGACCAAAGCAGACACGCAGACATGGAATTTAATATAAATATAATCTTGGGTTGGAAAGATGGCTTAGCGGTCAAGAGCACTGGCTGGTTTTCTAGAGGACTCAGGTTCAATTCCCAGCATGGCGGCTCACAACCATTCATAACTCCAGTTCTGGGGGATTAGACTCTCTCTTCTGGCCTCCATAGGCATCAGGTATATACATGGGACACATGAGACACATGGAACACAGACATACATGGGGGCAGTCCACCCCCATATACAATAAAAAAATTAAAGTGAAAGCTTAAAAGACTAAAATAAATAAATAAAAAAGATTTATTTATTATGTATACAGTGTTCTGCCTGCATGTATGCCTGCAAGTCAGAAGAGGGCACCAGATCTCATTGCAGATGGTTGTGAGCCGCCATGTGGTGGCTGGGAATTGAACTTGGGACCTCTGGAAGAGCAACCAGTGCTCTTAACCACTGAGCCATCTCTCCAGCCCTTGCTTCCATATATTTATCTAATATCAGTTCTGTCATGCAATTTTAAACTCAAACAACTTCTCTACTGGTAGAATCCAAATGCTACAATCTTATCCCCCCCCCCCCCCCGCAGTGAATGCTGCCAACCTCCTTCCTGTCCAGTGCTGATATTTTCTTTTTTTCTTTCTTTTTTTCTTCTTTCAGGGCTTTATGGAGTGGTCCAGAGCTCCACAGCAAACAACCATTGTGTTGGTAGTATGTGTGCTGTTCTTATTCTTGGTTTTAACTGGGATGCCCATGATGCTCCACATTTAACTATCACAGTAGCTGCTGTATGGAAATGTAAGCCCGGTGTCACTTAAGGAACTGTCCTAGCTGGAAACCAGGAATGGGTATGGAACATTATGAAGTATCTTTCAAACATCCATTGAGATGAGTTTAGTATGATCTTTAATTTATTTTACAGATTTATTTTTAATTATGTTTGTCTCTGTGTGTATGTGTGCTTTGTGAGTGCAGTTCCTGCAGAGGCCAGCAGAGGGAGTCTGAGCTCCTGCAGCTGGAGTTGTAGGCAGTTGTGAGCTGCCTGGTATGGGTGCTGGGAGCAGAACAAGAGCAGTGAGCACCCTGAACTGCTGAGCTGTCACTCCAGCTTCATGAGCTTTTTCTTCCTTTTTCTTTCTTTCTTTCTTTCTTTCTTTCTTTCTTTCTTTCTTTCTTTCTTTCTTTCTTTCTTTCTTTCTTTCTTTCTTCCTTCCTTCCTT